AGACACCACAGGCCGGGATTTGGTGGGGGGTGCTGAAATGGAAGCAAGGAACATGGAACATACATTGGGTGCAGGTCTCGGAAAGTTGGTGTTTTTTGGCGGGTCTCATTTTCCACAACCAGGAACATGTTCAAACCTTTGGCTGTTATTCAACCGGAAGGCCTCTTTTTGTATACGGTATGCAACTAGTTTCAAAGTAACCACACTTCTCTGTCCGCATTCCCTCATCCAAACAAGCAAGTATGCTTGTGCAAACAAGCGGCAACTTTCCGGCTGTCAGGCGACGGACGGTTGCTTTCACCCCACTTGCCCGCCTCTGCTTTTCTTGGGAGTGATACCCCTTTGGATCTTTGGGTTGTCTTGTTCCCCAACTAGCTATGGAAGCTAGGTCCATAGGCCGCAGATGGGGTCTGGGGAGCGGTTTTTGGAAAAAGCTCAAAAGGAGAGCTTTCCTTCCCTCAAACCGCAATATTTCCTTGGGGGGCGGGGATGGCTGGGCTCGTTCCCGCAGGGTGACGAAGTTTGTATTTGGTAGAATGCTTTTGTTGGGGATTGGCGGGAGTTGAAGCTATGCTTGATCAAATCCAAGGAGGAAGCAGTTCTGGATGGAAATCCAGGTGGTATCACAAAAAAGGGGCGCCTATTTCGGCAACCTTTCCTTTCTCGTTACAGGCTTCCATAGAGCGAGAGCATGGTTGGACATGGTGTCTGGGCCCATTTTGGGGAATTGGGTACGCCAAAAATGTGATGGTTGTCTCGGTGTTCACCCTGAAAAGGCAAGCCAGCAGCATTTGGGCTTCTGGCCGCAGCTCCGAGCCTCCTGTTCAGGCAATGGGCGGGGCACTACCACCACGCACCTTGGTTCGGGTTGGAGTGATGGGTCCTCACTAGGGGCTTCTGTGCGTTATTTCAATTGAACCTTTTCCAGGGGGTTAAAGGTAGACCAAAAGGATAGCTGCAACTCTTTGGGCCCAAATCCTTGTGACACATGTTGGCACATACCCAATTGTGCTGCCGGCTGGCACATGGTCAGGTCGCTATGGGCCTAAGGGCCGGGTGTTACTGAGGGCGGTCACGAACCCCCTGAACATGTTCGACAAGCTAGTTTGTCCGGGGGTTGATGCCAAAGACTCGGATGGGGTTGAGAACGGTTGGAAGTTACAGGACATTTGTAGGCTCGATGCAGCTCCACCGCTCGAAGTTCGTTCGGGGTCTTGCAACAAAAAGAACACCGGAGGACCAGTTCGAAGGTGTTCTTTCGAGGCATAGGAAGCCGGGAGGCGCATGTTGAGTCGATTGTGCCTTGGTCATATGAAGGATTCCTGAGATGCCCATGACCGTGGCCAGGCGTATTTTGACCATGAATGGTCCGTCTCAATCGTAAAATGGGTTTGGATTGGTTTCAGAGGGAAACCAAGAGGAAACTGCTCCCAAAGGGCCGGGAATACCCCCTGAAGTCCCCATGTCGGATTCGCCTCAGGCCATGAAAAGACACTCTCCGCAGTTGAATGAATTTGGGGGATTGCGCGGATTGACCTTCTCAATCAAGGTCAACCCGAAAGATTGTCACTTGGCATTGGATTGAAAGGCACTTGGGTCTAGTCTCAAAGCTAGCATGCAAACAGAGTTGGCATGTGGGCAGTTCAAACATCTAAGTAGGGTTATTCATAGTCAGCCATTCAAAGAGCCTTTATTTTTCCATCAGGCTTTCCAGGGAAACAGCCTTCCAAACAGTTGAGCTAGGTGAACCGAAGCTGGCGACAGCTGGTGTTTCATTTGGCGCTCTTCCTTGGTTGTTCACGTACGGACCTTGCCAACTGGTGACGTGATGGCACGAAAGGTTGGTTGCCCTCTTCTCACCCTTCACCCATCGCTCTTTGGATCAACAGCTTGCTCTTGTTCATACCTTGTCCTCTTCTTAACAGGGCATATGTATGTCCGTGTGCGGTGCGTTGGTAGGCAAAGCCATGTAAATGACAGCAATCCACTATTGCCACAGGTTCCGTGGTTCACTTGCTTTAGATCCGTCAAATTAGCAACCCCGGCAAAACCAACCTTTGGCCTTTGGCCAAGGTATGACGTCACTTCCCGGGCTGCGTGCCGCTTGGACGCAAGCGATCTGTTGCCAGCGACGGATAAAATGAGCGGCAGACCTTCTTGGCAACAGGTCAGAACTTCCGAAGCGTCGCCTTTCGCAGCGCCTTTCGCATGGGGATCCCTTCCGCGCGATTTTTTTTGCTGGGATGTGAGGCTTGGACCTCTGCTTCTCGCTGGGCTGGTGCACGGGGGTGGAGTTCCGGGAGGCCAGGCTGAAGTGCGAGATCTGGAACCAGCGCCTCGGATTTATCTCGGGAGCTCGGGGGTCGGATGTTTTGTTTTGATCATTTGCGAGGCTGCAGCTCCGGGGATGTTTCTGTTTTAATTGAGGGTTCCAGAAAGAGAGCAACTGGAAGTTTTGCCACTGGAGTAACCATAAACCAGCATGTGAATCCTAGCGGTGCCAAGCCGAAAGGACTGGGCATTTGTTGAGCCCCTCCATGAACTGGTTGAACCCGGAAAACTAGGCCTGGCGGATTAATAGGGGAGGTGCTTTTTCCTTTGTGCTCCACTTCCCCTCCGCACTTGGAGGCATGCATGCTGTAGCCCAAGCATTCATGAACGATGGGCAGCCAAATCCCTTGTTGGCTAGTGGGTGGTTCTGCTACCCGAGTATAGTAAGGCTTATATGGGTGTACTGTTCTTTTGAAGATGCCCACTTTTTGGTTTTGCTTTGAAGTTGGAAGCCAAAAGGGACCATGTCAGTGGGTCCAAATCCTAACAAAGGACAAGGATTCACCCATGAAACAAACTTACCCCGTACCCCTTGACCAAAAGTCAACGGACTCCGGGTGCTTTGCCAACTCCGTCACTGTTGCGAGTTCCCTCAGAGATTGGCGCCAGACAACCCGGTACTTTGGCGGTCAGTTCTGGGATTGCGAAACAATCACTTCGAGCAGCGAAACAAGGTGTGTCGGGGCCTTGGGAACAGCCCCCCCCCCCCCGGAACAGTTCGTGTTTGGCCCCGGTCCCAAGCCCAAACTTGCTTTGTGGCGGCTGGACAATTTCTATGTGATTTGATCATCTGTGATTGTTGAACAGAGCTCATGTTTTCTTGACTACAAATAGGTTTTACTACAAGAGGGTTTCGGCTTCCCGGTTCTGCCCCCCAAGCCCCAGGCTTCCTTGTGTTGAGACGCGTGGGAAAAAATGGTCGCCGCAAGCGACTCTTCGGGCAGCCCGACGGCCGGTTTGGGCAGACCTCAAGTCGTGCCAGGAGCTGCTCCTTTTTTTTGGGGGCCTGAGGATATGGCAGCGGGAGCTCATTTCGGGGGCCTTAGAGACACGGCCTTTTTCATAGGCGCCGTTTCTGGTGGCAGTTGGGTTGAAGAGGAATAGCTTCTCTTTGCCCGTTCTTTCAAAACGCCTTATGAACCAGTTGATGGGCTAGTAAACCAGCGCTGAATGAGTCTTTTTCCCGCCGCGGCTTGGGAGGGACACCAAAGAAAAACCGCTCATTCTTAGGTCCTCCTAGCTACGCGCAGCAGTGATGCTGTGGATGGCCAAAATCCACTTTGAAACAGGCGGTAGGTGTGACATATCCAAACCTCCCATGCCACGGTGATACTTTGTGCCCAACATTGCATGTACCGTGGCATGTGAAGTTTGAACATTGGTCGAGCGATGCAATTGCATTGACATTTTGCGGAGTACACTTTGTTGTTCATATGCATGAGCAGACGTTTTGATTCGTTTTTGCAGTTTGGATTGTTGTTTGCATGTCGGAGCCAAAGAGACTCGGTTGGCTCAAGATGAGTATCTCATCGCTTCATGAGAGTTGCGTCGTGTCTCAAACAGTGTTTAACCGTGTCATGTCCATCCCAGGCGCGAAACAGATTTGGCTGTGGGTCGAACCCAATGGTAGCATTTTGGGGTAGGTGAATTCACCACCCATTGTAGTCTATAGTGGGGATTGGGATGTTCACTTGGGGTACGATTTGGATTTTGACCGATGGCCATTTGTCCGTCAGCGGTTGTAGGAAGCTTTGGATTTGGTGCATGGCCCAATGGTTAGCACCTCCCCGAGGACAGTGGGCTACTTCCGCACCAGCTCCTCCGCCAACGAGTGCATCGCGAAGCAGGCGCGCTGGCCCGGTCGCTCTTTTTTCTTCTTCTTTTCCCCAATGCTTTGGAGTGTTGTTTTTGGAGAAGCCCGGTTTTGGTTGGTTTGGGAAGTCAACAATGACAATAGCTATTGGAGGTTCCAACATTTTTAAAAAAACCCATATGCACCAGCTTGGACCAAGTCCTGAAATCTCTCTTCTCTTCTTTCTCCCCTCTGCTTTTTTCTCTCTTCTCTTTCTTTTCTCTCTTCGCTTTCTTGTCTCTTTGCTTAATGGGGTGAAGCTTCTTTTGGATTTTACCGGATGTCACCGTTATAAACCATGGGCAGAGAAGCCTTCGTGCCAAACATTCTGCGCCCTTCTCTCTTTCACGCACCCGACGTCCCCTTTTTGGGAAGGAGCCAACAAACAAACGCACAAAGTTCACAAGACCCCCCCCCCCATCCCCCCAGCCTTCTATCCAAAGCGGGGGAAGCCGAGAATGCACGCGTTTCCTAAAGTAAGATCTTGCTCTTTGGCGGTTTCCCTCTGTTTTTTCCTTGAAACTTACCTGAAGCCATCAACGCAAAGGTCCCTATTTCAAGAAGCACCCCCAAGGCGGACTTGTTCCTCCACGCAAGCCAAAGGCTTCCGCAAGGGTTTTTTGCATGTCAGGCTTCAATCCAGACGGGTTTGTCTTTGCACTTCTGTTGCATTCTCAAGGCGGGGAACCCGAGGACCTTCACCTATGAACCCTCCCCCAAAACTGGAAGGCTTCATTTTCGTGGCTGGTCTTCTGTGCCTTCCAAGAAAACGGGATATGTTTTTTTGGGAAGGAGATAGACTACTTTAGTGCAGTTTGCTTAGATGTTAGGACTTTAACTTTTTGCCAACTAGTGGGTTTTCCGTATTAAACCACTAAAAGTTATTCACTTTTAGCAGGGGAGCAGACAGCAACCGAGTAGAGGTCTAGAAGTCCCGAAAGCATTTCCGAACTCTCAGCCGAGAGGAGCGCGCCTGCGCTGACTGGGTGGGCACCGCCTCCTGCGCAGCCAGCGGCTCGCCTTGCGGTGATGGAAAAACCTCGGTCGCCTTGTCCCAGGCCGCCCCTCTCATGTCCAGGGATTCCGCTGAAAGCAGCTAGTCATGAGGGTTTCTTCTTTTTTTTGGACCTGGCAGCCTCCCTTTTGCCTTCAGGGATTCTGTTGGAAGCATTTCATCATGAGGGTTGCTTCTCTTTTTTTGGACGCTCGGCAGCCTTTTCGGGTTGCTTTGACGCCGAAGGGCAATGCACAGTTAAACCCGGGCCCCCGGGTTTTGACACACGAGGCTATCTTTCCCCGTTTTTTTTTTTTTGCAATGGCCTTTCAGCAAGTTGGTCATGAGGTTGGAATCCTATGAGCCCGAACCTGCCTCCCAACCAAATTCCTGAGACCCTGTTTGATTTCTGATCTGAATCCTTGTTTTGGACCGCGGAATCAAAAGCTAAGCGCGGTTTTCGGGAAGAAAGCCACAAGAAAAGGCGGTTTGAAAGCTGAAGGGGGCCGGACCTCTTTGCCGCGCCGGGAACCTTGATAGAACTTGTTCGGTGGTGTTCGTGTTTCTTGAAAAATCCGGGGGCAATGGATGTGGACCCTGGCCGCCAGTTGTTTCTTGGCTTTGAGTTTCTTGGTTCTCAAGGACCAGGAACCCATGTGGAAGAAGGTTCAAAGCATATACAAACGGGGGAGGGGGGCAACCGAGCTTTTCAGTTTCTCTAGAAGTGGTCGGTTCTGGTTTTCATCTTCAAAAACCAGTTGTGACCCTTTCAATTTTATTCGAGACCACCAAGGAACGGAGGAAAACCCTCTGAAGCAAGTAGAGGGGTTTTGGTTCCGTACTTCCTTTCTGTTTGGGCTTCCAACACAAGATACACCGGTAACGGGCGATTCGTGGTGAGGCATTGAGGACTTGAACGCCACGACCCGCGTGGACCGCCTGCTGCGGTCGTGCCGGGGAGCTCTGGGCTCCGGTTCGCAGGTCCCCCGGCCCCCCCTGACTGACAAAATGCGAAGCAAAATGAGTCAGGTCAAAGGCCATGGCATCCTCAAAGTGCATCACCCACTCAGGTTTTAGTCATTGTTTCCATTTACCAGGATGCCATTTTGGCTACCCATTTTTCACCCACAGCCAAGTTGGTTTCAGGTTTTTCTTGGCTTCAACCAAGCCAGACGGTGTGTTTTGGACGGCACGAACGAAGCGCCTCGCCGGCAGTGCCAGCCGTCTTGCAAGGCCCGCAAGCCTGCGCCGACGTGACGCCGACCTGCCCTTCTGACTTCAGGCAGCTAGATGCCAACGTTGGAGGCCGGATTGCTCTGAGAGTGAGCAGGCCGACGCTTGCCCTTTTTTGGAGGCTTTAGCAGTTAGTGCGCCACACAGCTGATCCTTTTGAGGGGGGCCGTGTAAGGGGTAAGGGCCAGAAATGAGATGAGGACTGGGCAACTGGTTGCCAGCTGCGTGTCTTGCTTTCGCACGGGGGACAGAGACGCGTTTTGATGCGCGGTTTCGCAGAGCGCCACGCAGAAGTTTGTACTTACAAATGGCGTTGTTGCAGGTTTTCTGGTTTGCTCGCTTGTTTGGCAGTCTGGCTGCTTGTTTGTTTGTATATTTTTTCTTCTGTCTTTCTGCGGTGCTTCTTTCTGTATTTCTTTCTTTCTTGTTTGCTTGCTTGCTTGCTTGCTCGTTTTTGGATTAGTTGGATTAGTTGGTTTGGTTGGTTTGTTTGGTTTGATTCTCTGGCTTTGCGTGGTTGGTGTGGACGCGTGGTTTGTGTGGGTGTTGGTGATGGGTCGGTTGGCAGTCGGTCGAATGGTCGTTGACTGTTTGTTGCTTGCGGCTTGTCGCTTGCTGCCTCTTGCTTGTTGCTTTGTTTCTTGATGCTGTTCTGGATGTTGCTGTTGCTGTTGCTGTTGCTGTTGCTGTTGCTGTTGCTGTTGCTGTTGCTGCTGCTGTTGCTGTTGCTGTTGCTGTTGCTGTTGCTGTTGCTGTTGCTGTTGCTGTTGCTGTTGCTGCTGTTGCTGCTGTTGCTGCTGCTGCTGTTGTTGTTGTTGTTGTTGTTGTTGTTGTTGTTGTTGTTGTTGTTGTTGTTGTTGTTGTTGTTGTTGTTGTTGTTGTTGTTGTTGTTGTTGTTGTTGTTGTTGTTGTTGTTGTTGTTGTTGTTGTTGTTGTTGTTGTGGTCGTCGTCGGCGTGGTGGTGGTGGTGGTGGTGGTGGTGGTTACTGTATTACGTGGATCTGGTTGCGGTTTGTGGTGTTGGTTGTGATTGCGGTTGCAGTTGTGGTTCTTGTCTTGGTTGTTGTTGTCATCGTCGTTTTTGTGTTCGTAGTCGTTGTGTTTGTGGTTGTGGTTGTGGTTGTGGTTGTTGTTGTTGGTGTGGTTGTTGTTGTTGTTGTTGTTGTTGTTGTTGTTGTTGTTGTTGTTGTTGTTGTTGTTGTTGTTGTTGTTGTTGTTGTTGTTGTTGTTGTTGTTGTTGTTGTTGTTGTTGTTGTTGTTGTTGTTGTTGTTGTTGTTGTTGTTGTTGTTGTTGTTGTTGTTGTTGTTGTTGTTGTTGTTGTTGTTGTTGTTGTTGTTGTTGTTGTTGTTGTTGTTGTTGTTGTTGTTGTTGTTGTTGTTGTTGTTGTTGTTGTTGTTGTTGTTGTTGTTGTGGTCGTCGTCGTCGTCGCCGTCGTGGTTGTTGTTGTCGTTGTTGTTGTTGTCGTTGTTGTTGTTGTTGTTGGCCATGTTCCCGGGACGCGGCCTCTGCAAAACGCAGTGTCTTTTTGCGTCGCTCCAGTGTTTAAACCTTTGTACTTATAGAAATACTTTAGAGAAGGTTGAATTCATTTTGTATGGCTTGGACATTTGTACAGACCAATAACCACGACTTGTACTACGATTGTTGAACCGAATAATCTTATTTAGTGAACAATCTTTATATATATATAGACAATATCAGTATCAATATAATGATAAATACTGTAACAGGTGACTATTTAAATGCTTCTGCACTAAGTAAATACTATGACATTTAATATATGTGTTAATGATGAAAATATATCTGGTTACTTTATTAATAATAAAATGTTCTATTATAAACAATGCAGAATAGATAATAGAGGTTTTTTGAGAGAACTTCTGCCAACCCTGGCTTCTATAACTATGAACTCGGTTCGGTAAAGACGCACGCCTGGCAAAAACAAAGACCGACTTTGTGCTGATAGCCGCTTTGCGCCGAACTTTTTGCGACAAGGGTTGTGGGTCCGAAACGCAGGTTTTGGCAAGATGCTGCCTCAAAAACCGCGTGCCTGCCAGAGGCCGCGCCTTAGGAAGTGCACCTTGTTGTTGTTGTTGTTGTTGTTGTTGTTGTTGTTGTTGTTGTTGTTGTTGTTGTTGTTGTTGTTGCTGTTGTTGTTGTTGGAGGATAGTTGGGCTTGTTGTGCTTGTTGTTCTTGTTGCCGTGATGGTGGCGGCGGTGGTGGTGGCTGTGGTCGTCGTCGTCGCCGTCGTCGTCGTCGTCGTCGTCGTCGTTGTCGTCGTCGTCGTCGTTGCTGTCGTCGTCGTCGTCGTCGTCGTCGCCATTTTCATCATTCTTGTCGCACGTGTCGTGGTGGCGGTTGTGGTCGTCATCGTCGTTGTTGTGGTAGTAGCGGTCATGATGGCGGTGCTTGTGGTTGTCGTCGTCGGCGTTGCGCGTGTGGCAGCTGTTCTTGTTCCCATTGTCACCTCCAAACGAAAACCACGACTAACACTAGAGCATCAGCTTCCATGCGTTCTCTGCTAGCTGGGCACTGGGCAGGCCTGTACCTCACCTCGGGCGGCACGGTCTACCAGTCCCAGCTGGAGCAGTGCCTCGTCAGAGTCTTTGGGAAGTGGACGACTCATCTGAGTAAAAAAATCCGGAGCATACTTACTATGCATTCGGGGATCCCAGGGTTTGGGTAGTCTTCGGGTAAGTAGGCCGCCGCTTGGAAATCGGCATCACAAGTTTGAACAAGCATGCGGCCGCGCACGTCCAAACTGCAGTGTTCACAAGATTCGCTCAAGTCGGATTTGCATCCCGAACAGTTTGGTGGCTCGAATCATCCAAAAACATTCATGTTTTTGCTGTTTTGACTCGTAAGATTTCGCGCAAGTTCCGCGCAAGTGTTTCGCAAGCGGAAGCGCAAGTCCGAGGTGGTTTCATGACCGGTTAACCTGTAACTTCTTCACAAAACCATTGGACGGGCGAAGTTGAAACCTGGGCAAATAGCTGCTCTCATTTACGAACCAGGCAGAAGCAAGACCTCTAGTAACTAGAGGACTTTCTTAGGTGAGATCATTTCACCCTCCAAAGCGGGGGAGCGCAGATGAGGCCCGGTGTTCACACTCTTATCCTATGCTCAAATGTGTTGAATTCCAAGCGCAGGTCTTCTTGGAAGCTGTGTGCTCTAGTTGGGGTATGGCAGCCGGCAGCATAGCAGCAGGCAGGGCTGAAAAAGCATGCTGGCAAAAGGGCCTGAAGGGACAATCAGCCTGCCCCAGGCGTAATTTCTGCTAGTCCACCTAGAATATGTATGGGGTGCTCAGAAGGGGAATAAGGGGCATGCAAAGGTATGTATCAGGGCTAGCGCAGGTAGTTATTTTCGTTGACCAACAATAGATTTCCTTTTCACCACTGTTGTGCGCAAATTGGTTTGATATACTGCGTTTAAACCCAATGCAATTGAATGTACTGGCAAGCTTTCAACCCCGTTTCGCCGTATTCAAGCTACATACCAATGCAACCGTTAGGGAGACACTTTGCAACAAGCTTCTATCCGCGCGATGAGATGGTTCTTTGCAGGGCATCCGTGGGGCCTCGATGCAATGTAAACAAAAGAGTTCCTGGGTTCTGGGGCAAAAAAAAAACTTGGGAACCCCCTTATCAGTGTACCATATTTTTTTTTGAAGGGAGAAATCCAAAGCCCGAGCATATTCAAGGCTTCCCCATGTAGAGACGGAAAACCATTGTGTTGCCCGGGCACCTGAGGTACCACAGCGGGTACAACATGTTCTTCCAGATGCGCGGGCAGGTGAACGCGCATTCAGGCAGGGTTTGTTGGGACTCTTCCCAGAGGCTGCCCATATTTTGCAGTTTTCCGACCCTTTGTGCCATGGGAAAAAAGAAAAACAACCACACCTTTTTGCTTGTAGGGGTATTCATGAACACTTAGCGAAGCTGGATGAGGAACTCAGAGGGAAGCATGGGAGTGGATGTTAAAGGTGCTAGGCTCGGGTTGCGAGCCAGGAGGTAGGAAGTTGTGTTGGTTTCCTTCGTTTCCCTTCGCCCAAGTTCCTAGCTTGCCGCCCAGCATGTGCCTCAGTCTTTGGATCCCCACTTGGACGATCCAACGTAGGGTCCTCGCCCACGACCATCCCAGATCGCCCAGCTCCTTTTCTGGGTTTGATAGATACCCTTCTGGTCAATTTTTACCCCAACCTACCCCCCAATTCCGAGCCCTTTTTTGCCGTTGAAGATTCTCCTGGCTCAAAGACCTTGAAGCGTAGTCCCACCTTGACGGTTGATGAACCCCATGCCTGCGAAGGCTCTGGATCTGATGCTTCGGTAAACGCATAGAGGCGGCTTTTGGTTTGGGAACGCATCGGGCCATATGCTTTTAAGTATCCAGCACCTTGTACATTGCCCTGGCCAGTTGGAATTGACTTAGGTTGGAGTCACTTGGCTCTTGATTGGATTCTTATACTTGCTTAAAGTGTGGTTTGAAGCTTCATCCACCCTTTTAAATAATGCTATCAGGATCATTTTTTCCCCAGACACTGTCCGGCCAATTGTCGCTGCCAGAACTGGATTTGCTTTGGGCGCCCTATATTTGTGACGGGAACCTCTCGGCCGAACCTGGTGAAAGCCTTGTCTAAGCAGCCTGGTACCCAGGATTTGGGGGGGTGGGGTCTCTAAATTGTTCGGCGTATGCCTTTGGTTTCCTTTCCGACAAACGCAGCCAAAAGGGGTCCGCAGTTCGAGAAGAATGATTTGGTTGTTTCGACCAATTTTGCAACCAAGCCTTTCAGGAGCGCTGGAGCTGACGTCTCTGTCTGCCGACGGCGGCGAAGAGGCGTGAGCTTTTGGGAGGTGCTCTTGGCGGTTGTCTAGTCGACCACTGATGTCAGGGACCCTACAACTGCCCCCCAAAGACCCCACCAAGAGTTCAGGGGTTCTGCTGGCAAATGAGGCCAAATTAGGTAGGGGAGCAACCCTCGATAGCTCTAGCGGGAGTTGCACACCCAACGAATCCGACAGGTTCTGCTTCAATCTGGAGCAATACCAGAAGCCTTCCCATGAAGGTTCCTGAAGTGTTCAGTTCCATGTACACCTGAGGTACACCGATAGCGCGCCAAATGGGCCGAAATGGGATCCCGAAGCCGATCCTGTATCGTTGGAAAGAGAGTACTTTGCCCTTTTCCAAGTACCTAAGGACACCTTGCTGAGGTTGCCCTTTCTGGATGATCTTGTTGAACCCCTCGACTGTGGATGGACGAACTCCTGCACCAAGTGGAAACCATGGGACACCATGACTTGTTGGTTTTTACAGGGGAATGAACATTCCAGGGTTTCTTAGGGGGTGCAGGATTTTCGTCCATCCACAGTAGGTCCGTACTTGGGCCTGGTGAATTGCTCAATTCACCTTGCTTCATGGGACGCCAGCTTCAGTTGGCGACGTTGAACCTCATTGCTTGCAGTACGTGGCGGGTTCTGCTCCTGGCTTCTTTGGGTCCCCAAACCAAAGAGGCACAGGCCACTTCAACTGCTATAGTTTGCCTCGGCTGAGCATAGCTAAACTTGTACCACTTTCTTCGAATACCCTCCCATAAAAAAATGGAACTCACCAGAAGAACTCTCTTGCACAAAGCGAGTCGACTTTTGACCTTTGGACGGTCCAATTTGGGCCCATGTCTGGTCAAGGTCTCAACCTTTTGTTTCCAGATCCTTTGGACAGGGAGAAACTGGTCCGAGCCAGGGTTTCTGGGTTTCCTGCGTTGGGGTCCCAAACCTGCCATTCATAGGATCTATCCGGAATGAGTGCAGATATTCCACGGAGAGGCGCTGATCACCCGAGCCAGATACTTGGTGAACAGGCGGGTGGGAGACGGGCCGCGGGCGGGAGACCCTCCCCAAGCGGTCAGACCTGTTAAAAGGGCCTTCTCAGTCTCATCGCAATATCCAACGTCTTCCAAGGCACACCTCCCCAACGCCGCTTCCAAGCAATCAGGGACTCCTTCCACAACGACAAGAGGTACATCAAAACCTGGTTGATGGGGCTTAGGGCAAGGGCTCCTTTGACCAAGGAGCTTTGATGCGCAAATGGCTGTGGAGTTTTAAGAGTTAGAGCCCTGGTTGGTGGGACAAATTCAATGCGAATGATGTTTACCTTAAGATTCACCAATCCCCCGCTGGAAAGGTTCTCTACCCTATCGGAGCTTCTCATCATCCTCATGATTAGCTCGGCATTGAGGGACAAAGACAAAGGCATTGCCTCACTTTGATTCACATCCAGTGTTGGTTGGACAACCTGTCTAGATCACCAGGTGACCAGAGGGTCTTTGGACCAAAAGTTGTTCAAACTCACTTAGGGAGTGCATCCCAACTCGGAAAGCAGGGCCTCCGCATCATGGCATACCTTGTTTGGGCCCCTTTTTGACCCTCCCTACAGGGTCCTGGATGAATACATGCTTCATATATCGCCTGTACCAGCTGACTTAGAGGATCCCCTTGTAAAGCAGGTGTTTTTGGGATGTATGAGCCTCATGTCATTTTTTTGATTCAACAAAACTTGGGCTGGGGCTCTGTGGACCCTAAACGCTCCTTCATTTGGTGGATGCGGGAACATGGCGGGTGATGGCGGATGTTTGGACAATCTGATCCGCAAGCTAGAACCCCCAAATGATAAACTCCTCCCACCACCCGTCCACCGAAGCACACCTCCAGTTGTGGCACGTTTCCGTCTTCCCAAGGGGGTGTGTTTGGTGTGTGTGTGTGTGTGAGTGAGTGCGGGCGGGCGGGCGGGCGGGCGGTGGGGCGTGCATGCGTGCGTGCGTGGATGGGAGGGTGGGTGGGTGGTTGGGTGTGACTTCTTCAAGCATTGGGCTTGGCAATCATGATCCAAGATATGCCGGCTGGCCCTCGTCACGAGGTTGCTTGTCCGGTAGCTGCCTTGTAAGACTTGCCCTCCAATCATGAAAGCTGATAGGCTTGGAGGAGGAAACCACTTCCACCGTTGGAAACGCTGTATCAGTATTTTTTGGGATGTGGCGCAGTTCGAGGATTTCGATTTGAGATGGTTTGCGTGTATTTGCACGCATTTTTTGGGTGTCTGTGTTTTTCTCCCATCCAGCAAGCACATCGAGCAATCCCCGAAGGCGAATCGACTATACTGTGATACATGTACCGTCAGTGCAGTTGAGCCGCAAGTTGGCAATCGAAGTAGCAGAGAAGCTGTATGAGGAGGGTTTCAAGACGTTGACGTTGTATTTTCAAGTCCTTTGACCAAGCAAGGGGTCAATGAGCAAAGATTGGGATCAGGGCGGATGGTGCACAGCTGATTGCGAGAGATGCCAGACAGTGTGTCCTAAGGGATCCTTCAAGGGGTCAAGCGGTCAAGTTGTGATATCCCAGAGGGGCCCTGTGGAAGGTTCTGCAGCCTTGCATTCTTTGATTTTGTAAAGGGCTCCTTTCAGACAATGCGCTTGAGGTGCCAAAGGAAAAAAGGGGACATTTCCGGATTTTGAGAGAGCGGCCTACGTTCCTTCCGCTTCCTTCTTACCTCTGAAATCCTTACAGAAGGCCTGTTTCCTTTTGACTTTCCCACTCCACAAGGCGTAATCTCCCCTTCCAAATTTGGTGCCGCAACTCGGGGTCTTGGCAAAGAAAGGAGCCACCTTTGGCAACTTCTACCCTCGAGCTTTTCCGTTTTAACCCTAGAGCCTAGCATTTGGACCCAGAGCGCCTAGACCTGAAAACCCTCGCCTCGGCACAGGCTGGGCGCCAAGGTGCTGCTGGGCCCCTACGGGGACGAGAGCTTCGAAGCCGTGGCCGGGAGTCCCGTCCCGCGCCGATCGACTCCCGAGCCCCGGGTCGATCCCAGTCTCCATCCGCTTCGGATTTTTGGGGTTGCCAGGGGTCGAGGGAAGCCAAGAGGAAACGGATGAGTTGGTTTTGGGGGTCTCTATTTTGACCATGTAGCCAGGGTTCTATTGGGATCTTGTCTTAGGTTTTTGATTTCTTTCATGGGAATCTTTGAAGAAGCCCCTGGTTGATTGGTATACGTGTGTCTCGTGTTCGAGGGGATCTTTAGATGCTGGACTTGTTGGGAACACCCCCAGATGGATTCATCCGGGGAGGACATTCAGCGTCAAAAGGGGGTCCCCTTGTTCAGGAATCGCTCGTTTCCAAGTCTCATCCAGTCGAAAAGGGATCTTAGGATGCAATGTGCTGCTTTCAAAGTGATTTTGCAAGAATGTGATAGATATATTTATATACGCATACATACAGTCACACTACATACACAAACATGGCCATGCACATCTACAGATGCATATGCGTATACATGTACGCGCATATGCATACACAGGTTGAGGGTTGATTCCGGGTTGGTGTGGAGTTAGCTGAGGGTTTTTGTAGGGTTGACGTCTTAGATTGAAAGAGCCCATTGACGGTCACCCGAAGTGATAAGCAAGTAGCTGTGTGTCCTTTGCTTCATCTCTTCATTCTTTTAGGTACAGACAGGGTTGTGCTTGGCTGCTCTGTGATGACACCCAAGAAAATCGGTTTGGTTTCCTTTGGTCTCCTTTTACCTTTGGCCTCTCAGCAACTGGTTCCAACCGGGTCGAATGGGAGCTCTTTGTTTTAGACATTTGTGTGTGTTTTTTTTGGGGGGGCCGGGTCGCTGGGACTCACGCGGGTCGGCGTGTGTGCCTGGATGCACACACTCAAAGATGAAGTAGGTGCCTTCAGATGTCTGCAACACCTTGCAACACCGGACCTTTAATGAAGCTTTCATTGTGGGCTCAGTCGCGTGTCGGCTGGGTCGTAGGTTGAGGTACGAGCCCCGGCCAGCTATATTACCAACTGGCTTTTGGGTCTGTCATGGAGAAGATACGGGGTCAACATGAGACGAAAAAAGGCTGGTTCCACTCTGGTTGCGTAATTAAAAGCAATCACAGCAGGGGGTTCCCACCAAACATATGTTTTAAGCAAGTGGTTGGACAAGCTCAATATGTAGTTCGACCAGTCCCAGGTTGCGTGGCTAGGACCAAAATGCTTCGGCCAGGCTTTGCAACTACGACCATATGTCTGAAAGCGCAGACCAGAAATGATTAAAACAACTACGACCACCATGAGCGGGGCAGGCTGAACACGTCCAAAATGGCCTGAAAGCTGACTGGGACCGACGATAGCGTAAACTGGGACCAACATGAGAATCTCAGAGGCGAAAGCGCCGTAGGCCTGTGGGCTGAGAGGTCCCTTCGACCCTGGGCAAATGCTCGCTTTTGGCGGTACACACTGGTGTATTTTTGGTATCTTCCCTGGATTGTGATCTCAGGTATTTCGTAGTGCACTTGGTGTCATGCTTGTTTCAAGCAGAACTCCGGGTCAAGCCAAGGCCCGCGTTTTCTCGTCGGCCCATTTTGCGGGTTCCGGTCTCGGGCTGCGGGGCGAGCGGCGCTTTCGGCCAGGCGACGGTGGCTGAGGAGTCCAAGGCCGTGGGCGTTTGGGTTTTTGAAAGGGGGCAAGTTCAGCATAGGAACCCAGCAGTGATTGCGACTTTTGAAGGGGAAGTGGGGGAATCTGCCTTTCTTGGCTGTTTCAGTGATACTGTTTAGTGGTTGATTCCTAGATCTATGAATATCCTATGACTAGCCCGTGTTTCAATCAATATTGAAATTACGCTGTTTATGTTCTAAAAGCAACATGGTATGGCTACTGTTTCTTGACATGTAGTTTCACTTAATGTTTTGATATTTGTATTCCCATGTACATTAGTTGTACTATCAAATTATGCATTCTGAGTTTTGAATTTAACACGACCCACATCTTTTCCAGATATGTCAGGGCTTGTGTGTGTGTGTGTCACAACAAGTGGGTCTGGCAACCCATCTTAGCCACACGCAAGATTGGCTTTGCGGTTGCAGCTCAAGTCCGACTGCCAGAATCATGGCTTGAGTTCTGCTGATTGCTGGAACCTCAAAGCGTTACTCGGTGGATGAAGCTCGGGGAAAGCAATTCACCAGCAATCCCACTGCCGATCCCCAGCTGCCAAAGGTTGTTGCTTAGCTGCGTCCGGGTGAGTTCGTTTCTGGGTTGAAGCATCGTCTCTGGGTTTAGCATGGTCTGAGACCGACTTCCCACAGTCCTCGGTGGGTGTGCTGCCATTGTGCCACAGCCCTGGCTGAACCTGCCCCCTTCTACCCTCGATGGTCCAGAGACCGACCCATTTTTGAGAAAGTAAAGGAAAAGGGACCAGCGCATGAATCGATTCTTGAATGACCCCACATAGGAGGTTAGGATTCAGCTGAGAAGTTGAGAGGGCCAGAGTTTGTGGTGCTTTCCGATGTCATTGTTACTTCGTGTTTCTTTCTGATTCCATTGGGATGTGTATGAAACCAAAGTGGCCATAATTTGGTCGCACTTGCCATTATTCCTATTTCAAAAACACACTGTCTGAAAGTCGATCTATCGCAAGTTCCGCAGACCCCCATAGGACATCCGAGTAAGAAAAGGGCAAGGGGTCTCATCCTCCATTGCTCTGATGCGTGGTAGGGAAACCGCTCGGACCCAACAACTCCTTTGAGTAATCCTTAGAAGCCCTTGCCATAGCAATATTTGGAAGGGGCAAGTTTCGTCAGGTCTCGTTGCGGATTTTTTCCGGCAGGTGGTGCTCATGGGGCCGATCAGCAAGAGCAACGAGACCGTGGCGTCGCACGACACCGTCTTCTCCATGACACGCCACCCGTCAGACGAGGTCGAGGGGAGGGAAGCCCAGAGGAAATAGAATGCCAGATCCCATGTTAGTTGACTCGTTCTGAGGTCCTCGAGAAATGCCACAGCTTTTCCCCTGAGCTTTCATTTATTCGCCCCAAACATGGCCAGGCCTTCAAAGGGTACCGTTGACAGAGGACATGTGGGGCTGTTTCTTTTTGAGGCTTGGTACCTTTTTGGTGCCAAGGGAAGTCGCGAGGAACATCGGGACCCTCGCACAGTTCCCTATTTGAATTCACACCCATTCGGTCAGATCTCACAATGAGGGGCTTGTTTCAAAAGTTGTTTCCTCATTCTTTTCAACCATCGTTCTTTTCAACAACCAGACCTTCTCTGTAGTTTTTGGGTTCCGCCTTGGAAGGTCCGAGTCGGTTGAGCCTTTGAAGAGGAACCCTTGCCGAGGGTTGCCCCTGCCGGAGCCTCGCCTTCAAACGGTGTCCCGAGTTTCCATGAGCCAATGGACTGGGGACGCCTGGCTTAGGCTTCTGCCCACCGCCCGTCGAATTCGTCGACTTGCGCCATAATAGCCCCCCCCCCCCAATAAAAAACTGGCTGGACCTGCTCTAAACCCCCCCCCCCAAAAAAAAACAGAACCGGGATCCTGCCAACAAAAATTGGCTGGACCTGCCCTAACCCCCCCCCCCCCCCCCCAACAAAAAAAAAAAACAGAACCGGGATCCTGCCAACAAAAACTGGCTGGACCTGCCCTAAACCCCCCCCCCCAACAAAAAACAGATCCGGGATTTTGTCAAGAAAAACTGGCTCGACCTGCCCTAAACCCCCCCCCCCCCAAAAAAAAAAGAAGCAGAACCGGGATCCTGCCAACAAAAACTGGCTGGACCTGCCCTAACCCCCCCCCCCAAAAAAAAAAAAACAGAAATCCTGCCAACAAAAACTGCTGGACCTGCCCTAAACCCCCCCCCCCCAAAAAAAAAAAACAGAACCGGGATCCTGCCAACAAAAACTGGCTGGACCTGCCCTAAACCCCACCCCCAAAGAAAAACAGAACCGGGATCCTGCCAACAAAAACTGGCTGGACCTGCCCTAAAACCCCCCCCCCAAAAAAAACAGAACCGGGATCCTGCCAACAAAAACTGGCTGGACCTGCCCTAAACCCCCCCCCCAAAAAAAACAGAACCGGGATCCTGCCAACAAAAACTGGCTGGACCTGCCCTAACCCCCCCCCAAAAAAAAAATCAGATCCGGGATCCTGCCAACAAAATCTGGCTGGACCTGCCCTAACCGCCCCCCTCCCCCCCCCCAAATAAAAGAACCGGGATCCTGCCAACAAAAACTGGCTGGACCTGCCCTAAACCCCCCCCCCCCAAAAAAAAAAAAGCAGAACCGGGATCCTGCCAACAAAAACTGGCTGGACCTGCCCTAACCCCCCCCCCAAAAAAAAAAACAGAACCGGGATCCTGCCAACAAAAACTGGCTGGACCTGCCCTAAACCCCCCCCCCAAAAAAAAAACCCCCCCAAAAACCGATCCTAAGAACCAACGGGATCCTGCCAACAAAAACTGGCCGGACCTGCCCTAACCCCCCCCCCCCAGAAAAAAAAAAAAAAAAAAAAAAAAAAACAAAACAAAAAAACAATAAACAAAACAGAACCGGGATCCTGACAACAAAAACTGGCGGACCTGCCCTAACCCCCCCCCCCAAAAAAAAACAGAACCGGGATCCTGCCAACAAAAACTGGCTGGACCTGCCCTAACCCCCCCCAAAAAAAAAACAGAACCGGGATCCTGCCAACAAAAACTGGCTGGACCTGCCCTAAACCCCCCCCCCCATAAAAAAAACAGAACCGGGATCCTGCCAACAAAAACTGGCTGGACCTGCCCTAAACCCCCCCCCCAAAAAAAAATAAAATAAATCAGAACCGGGATCCGCCAACAAAAACTGCTGGAACCTGCCTAACCCCACCCCCCCCAAAAAAAAAAACAGAACCGGGATCCTGCCAACATAAACTGCCTGGACCTGCCCTAACCCCCCCCCAAAAAAAAAAACAGAACCGGGATCCTGCCAACAAAATCTGGCTGGACCTGCCCTAAACCCCCCCCCAAAAAAAAAACACAGAACCGGGACCCTGCCAACAAAAACTGGCTCGACCTGCCCTAAACCCCTCAAAAAAAAACAGAACCGGGATCCTGCCAACAAAAACTGGCTGGACCTGCCCTAAACCCCCCCAAAAAACAAAAACAGAACCGGGATCCTGCCAACAAAAACTAGCTGAACCTGCCCTAAACCCCCTTAAAAAAAAACAGAACCGGATCTCACAAAACTGGCTGGACCTGCCCTAACCCCCCCAAAAAAAAAAAACAGAACCGGATCCCAAGCAACAAAACTGGCTGACCTGCCCTAAACCCCCCCATAAAAACAGAACCGGGATCCTGCCAACAAAAGCTGGCTGGACCTGCCCTAAACCCCCCCCCCCAAAAAAAAATAAAATAAATCAGAACCGGGATCCTGCCAACAAAAACTGGCTGGACCTGCCCTAACCCCCCCCAAAAAAAAAACAGAACCGGATCCTGCTGCCAACAAAACTGGCTGGACCTGCCCTAAACCCCCCCAAAAAAAAAACAGAACCGGATCCTGCCAACAAAAACTGGCTGGACCTGCCCTAACCTCAAAAAAAAAAAACAGAATCCCGGGATCCTGCCAACAAAATCTGGCTGGACCTGCCCTAACCCCCCCCCAAAAAACAAAACAGAACCGGGATCCTGCCAACAAAAACTGGCCGGACCTGCCCTAACCCCCCAAAAAAAAACAGAACCGATCCAACCAACAAAATTCAAGGGACCTGCCCTTCTAACCCCCCAAAAAACAAAACA